ACCGTACCTACCACACCACCAACAATCTACACCATCAGGACGGTGCCCTCGACTACCCATGGTCGTAGTCGTAAAGGATGCCCCCGAATCCATGGCTAAGGGCATCATTGATGTACATGGGGTTATCGTCGATCAATAAGGTAGCGCCTATGGCCTACCAAGAAATAGCAAGGACGACTGGATCAGAACGATTCGTTACTTTGCACATATCAGCCTTGGAAGTCTTCTTTCCAGATAGGCCGAAATGGTTGCCTAGATGGACCCGATTTGAAGGAATGCCAAAGTTGGCGAAAACCCAGTCGTAGGTGTCTTGTCGAATTTGCTGAGCAGACCAAACACCGTTGGCGATGCCATCGCCCGAGCCAGGGCCTACTACCTCCTGTCTAGAAGTAACTATATGCACTTCAGCGAAGTTGGTGATTTTTCGGACGTATTCCTGAGCACCCGGCACGAGGGGGATGCCAGATTTGAACTCGGGAGACTCATGGAAGATATAACACTTCTCTATAGCCTCTTGAGCCGTACCTGATTCACAACCAGAGTGGTCGTTCGAGCGCAATTTCCAGAGTGCCGAAATTCTTTGGTAGAGATGGTCGAGTCAGCTATCCATTAGCACGGTTAAGGATAGTAGTACCTCCTTGAACCTCCCAGAAGCGGTACGTGAAGAAGTCTGAGACCCTCAAGTGCGTGCCGTAGACCCTATTGTGCCACTTAGTGTAAGTGGCCAAGTACTGCCCAAGGACCTCATCAAGGTCGAAGGCTACTACAGGCCGCTGGTGCTTAGCAGCAGCAGAGCTGACGATATGTAGGGTGCTACCTCCAGCCATGGAGATCTAATGATCTACCTGACGACAATAATAATTGCTTCAACGATTGTTAATGTGGGCGAGAAATTCCGTTCGTATGAACGATTACCACGCTTATAATCGTCCGTGCGCCAGAAGACTTTACCCATACATAATCGTCACAGTACCACAGGAGAGGATTCCTTCCGCAGTTTACTTTGTTGATTAAGCAATGTCGACTAATATCCCTGTCGTCGTTAAGTGGGGGAAGGCCACCTATAATATTGAGGTCAACACTGCGGAGTCCGTGGCTGTTTTAAAGGTAGTATTCCACGCAAGCCATGGTGCATTCGAGATGGAATTGAACCTGCGTCGCCTCCTTATGCTCGAGAGGTTTTACCGTCAGCGTGGATTCGCCTATTCAGACTCAGCTGGAGAACCTCACGAGTGTGCCGCATGACAAGCAGAAGATCATGGGCCTACCAGGCGGCCTGCTCAAGGACAGCGATGACCTCAGCAAGAAGATCACCAAGCCTAATCAGAAGATCACTCTATTAGGTCGGCCTCCTCCTCCGCTCTATAGTGGCAATATCATCTTGGATCGCCCCCCTCAGGGACTGCCGTGGCTCAGCAATTGAAAGCCCCGACCGCGAGCACCGTCTTCGTAGAGGACCTGTCGGACGAGGAAAGGAGGAAGGTTCTCAAGGTACTTCAGTTTGATTCGCCCCTTCGGCAAGGCACCAGCATGTGGTCAATCTGCCTTGCCGTGCTTCACTACGCTAATCGAGAATCCCTATGAGTAGTCTGATGTTTTTACGTTACCTCAGGAAAGGGAGGTCGAGACTCTACCTATTGGGTTGGTGAATCTGGGCAACTCCTGCTATATGAACGCCACCTTACAGGCCCTATATGCAGTTCCTCCTCTACGACAGGCACTGTTGAAGTAGTAGCAAAGGGATTAGTAGGCTCCTCAGTATAGTTGTGTACTCAGCTACGACAGTAGTGCTCATAGTGAAGGCAGCAACCAGGAGAGGAGCCTGAGCGCCTTGATACACCAGACCTTCAAGGACCTCGGCACTAAGGCTGATGCAGTCGAGCCCGCCAGCTTATTTATGCTCCTTCGAGTTATGTATCCCGAGACCTTCGGAAAGACAACGCAAGGAGGTACTTGGGCCGGTCGTCGTTGTCGTGGTCGTGGCAACACTACCGCGTGCTAGGTATTCCCCAACAGCAGGATGCCGACGAGTTCCTCCGGGCTCTCATGCTCAACCTCTCTGACACGGTCAAGACGCCTCACAGTAATGTTATCGATGATTTGTTTGGCTTCACAATGAAGACTCGCATGCGGTAATAGGACCATGTGCTTCACAAAGACCTGATGCTACTGCTACTACTAGGTGCCTGGAGGCTGAGGCAGAGCCGGAGTCTGTCTCGGAGGAGCGTCATCGAGTGTTGTTGTGCCACATGGGCACTCCTACTGACCCCGTAGGGCACCTCTACCAGGGAGTTCAGCTCAGTCTGAAGGAGACTATCACCAAGCAAGCTTCGGTAAGCTGCCTGTTGGTGAAAGAGGACCTCTGAGGATCTACAGGTCCTCGGTCGCGACGCTGAGTTCGAGAAGTCCTCGGCCATGGACTCCCTTCCGGAGTACCTTATAGTAGAGTTCGCCAGGTTCCAGTGGAAGGGAGAGAGCACCTCAGCTGGTAGGCTCCACATCTCGTGGCGAGCCGCCTTCAGTGGTCTCTGTAGGCACTCATGCTACTAGGACCAAGATCACTCGAAAGGTCACTTCCCGCAAGTGCTAGACGTGTACGACTTCTGCACGGAAGATGTGCGGAAGCAGCTCACTCGTGGACGACAACGCAGAAGGTAGTAGCACTGGCGATGAGGAGTTTCGTGATGCACAACTTCAGGGTTTACATGGACGAGCAGGAACGGAAGAGGATCCAAGCTAAAGAGGCTAATAGGAAGGACAGCGATGTCGAGATGGACGCCACTGAGGAGGACTCGAGCGTGGCACAGGTGAGAGAAGGATCTTGCTTACCGCTGTGATGGTTACTGTGATAGATACCCACCGGCAACTACAGGTGTGTATCAATAGTCTCCCATGAGGGACGATCGGCTGAGGGTGGACACTATATGGGCTGGGCTAAGTAATGCTACGTGCCTCTATACTGCTGAGAGTACTGGGGGCCTCTAGGTTCAAGGAGGCCGATGGTGACGTGTTCAAGGAGGACCAATGGGTTAGATTTAATGATGACAAGGTTACTCAGCATGATTGGAAGTAGCAGTACTCGAGACTGCTGATACCGGAGCTGGACCATTGTAGGTACGTCGTGGACCAGTTGGTCGGTGGCCGAGCCGATACCCAAATAGCATACATTGTGATCTACCAGAAGGACAAGGTGCCTGATGGGTCTATTGAGGAGATCGTCGATGAGGAGATGGAGATGGAATCCAATCCCGACAAGAAGAAGGCCAAACAGTGATCGTCAGTGTGATAACAATAAACTCAATTTCCCCACTATAAAGCGTCTTGTGTTGTCGCAGTAGGGTTACCCGATCATCGATTCTCGAGTCGAGCCGACTTTGACGCACATAGCACATCCTATCCAACCTTTCTGCCAAGCGCCGATTCATCATTACTGTTGGAACGCAACTGTATACGGTGGATTCAGAAACATACATGCATTGGACGATTGAGCGACTCCGCACCAGAGTCGGCCACGGCCATGGCAACAGCTTTACTAAGGCTAGCTATGTCTAATGGACTCAGTTGGGCTGACTCTTCTATTATCCTCGGTAGTAGGCTCCAGGCAAGGTCAGCAGCCTCAGGCCAGTGAGCGAGAGCCCACACAACGTTACAGCACTCACGCGTGGTGAAAGCAATTGTGATGAGATCAATGAGCTCCAACTGATCAGGACAGGGCAACTCCAGGACGCACAAACTCCACAAGTAGTTGGCAACATTCTGCGACGTTCGCTGCTTCAACGGCTTCATCTTGACCCCACGCAGAGGGACCACTAGTCCTGCTTGCCGACACCGTGCCAATGCCCATAA